GATTACAGGCTGATATCACCCAGTCCCCCGCCCTACTCTGGGACCAATCAGTGAGCAGTATGGGTGGAGGAATGGATTTAGTGTTCATGACCCACCTGTGCTGATCTCTGTAGGAGTGTCCTCCTCTATAAATGTCCCCGTTATTCCATCCTCCTCCATAGACTGCTGATCATCCCTCACATACGCCTCTTCTTCTTCTGCTTTACCCTCAAATTCTATATCGATTGGATCTCCACTCTAAATCAAGGAAATGAGAGAAAAATATCATCTGTAAAATGTAAGGTCATATAGAAAATCCATACATCATCTTTAGAAGTCCATGTTCTAGATTTTGTGCCCTTCCAACCTTGTAATAGTGAGTGATGGTGTGACCTTCCTGTGTGGAATCCTGGGAATACAGAGGATGGGGACATCTCTATGGTGGGTTCCTGGTATTAGGTGGTGTGACGGTCATGGCGTCAGACCCCAGCCCTTCTCACCAACTCATGACCAAAGGACTAGCCAATCTAAAACCGCGCTGTCATGTCCTTAACAATGCCACACTCAGCTGCACCCTGCACAAAGATTTTCCAGCTAATGGACCACAATCTATGTACCTTCAGCCTGAGAGCGATTGTTACTGGGTCAGGTTAATTATGCAATTAACCCTTCTCACTGCCACCACCACCTTTTTGTACTGAGAAGGAAACTCGCCAATATTAACAATAACACTATGATGTTTGAATAATCATCTGTATACACACTGTCACTGCAGGCAGATGTATATAGAAGTTTAAAAACACACAGTAGCGCTCTTCAGAGACAGGGATTCTTAGTTTGCATTAAAGAGCTTTAGAAACAGTTCAACACTTTTCAGATAATAGGATTTATTACTAAAAAGTTCAAAATGGTGCAATAAAAATATTTACAGAAAAAGATGTAGCCAATATACAGTATATATACAGTTGTGTTCAAAATAATAGTAGTCAGACATCACTAACCGGATCAATCACTGTTTTTGGTAGAAATGATATTTCTACATGGCAAATAATTTCCTAGCAGGTGTAGTAGAGTCATAGAAATCCAACAGACCCAACAGTCATGACATGCATGCTGCTGATTCTGTGTCATTGAATCACTCATTGAGGGGCGTGTTCAAAATAATAGCAGTGTGGAGTTCTATTAGTGAGGTCATTCATTCTTTGAAAAACAGGTGGCAATTATTGCCCTTATTTAAGGAAGGAAGGCAGCAAATGTTGTACATGCTGGTTACAGTGCATTTCTCTCTGAAATTCTGAGGAAAATGGGTCGTTTTTAGACATTGTTCAGAAGAACAGCGTGCCTTGATTAAAAAGTTGATTGGAGGGGAAAACATATAAAGAAGTGCAGAAAATGATCGGCTCTGCTCAGCTAAAATGATCGCAAATGCTTTAAAATGGCAACCAAAACCTGAAAGACGTGGAAGAAAGCGAAAAACTACCATTGGAATGGATAGAATAGCCAAAATGGCGCGGACTCAGCCAACAATCAGCCCCAGGAAGATGAAAGAAGGTGTGAAGTTCCCTGTGAGGACTGTTACAATTAGAAGATGCCGATGTGAAGCCAAGCTATCTGCAAGAAGTCCCCGCAAAGTCCCACTGTTGGAAAAAAGACATGCTGAAGAGGTTACAATCTGCCAAAGAGCACATTGACTGGCCTAAAGAGAAATGGCCCAACATTTTGTGGACTGATGACAGTAAGATTGTTCTTTTTGGGTCTAGTGGGCGGAGACAGTTTGTCAGACGACCCCAAACACTGAATCCAAGCCACAGAACACTGTGAAGACCATGAAGCATGGTGGTGCAAGCATCATGATATGGGGATGTTTCTCATACTACGGTGTTGGGCCTATTTATCACATACCAGGGATCATGGATCAGTTTGAATACATCAGAATACTTGAAGAGGTCATGCTGCCTTATGCTGAAGAGGAAATGCCCTTGAAATGGGTGTTCCAACAAGACAACGACCGCAAACACACCAGTAAACGTGCAACATCTTGGTTCCAGACCAACAAGATGGACGTTATGGAGTGGCCAGCCCAATCCCCGGATCTTAATCCAATAGAAAACTTGTGGGGTGACATCAAAAATGGTGTTTCTGAGGCAAACCAAGAAATAGAGAAGAACTGTGGAATGTGGTCCAATCATCCTGGGCTGGAATACCTGATCACAGGGGCCAGAAGTTGGGTGACTCCATGCAACACAGATGTACAGCAGTTCTCAGAAACAGTGCGACTACAACCAAATACATTTATTAAGTGATTCAATGGAAAGCAAATTATTCAAACATTTCTCAGTTTATATAGTGAATGTTTGAGTTTGTAAAGAAGAATACAAACACTGCCATTTTTTTGAACCGTCTAATATTCACTTTTCTTCAATTTTTGTAGAGGAACAACACAAATGTGGTATATTTTTCTTCATGTTTTGATTTGGAATAGAATGTGTCGTGTTCCCAATGCATTTGTGTGGATGGAAATAAAAGCTATTAGAAGGATTTTGAGCTTTATTCACTTTTTTTTTTTCAACACACTGCGATTATTTTGAACACAACTGTATAAATACAGAGAGCAATAGCACAGCAGAGAGATAACAGAAAGAAGTTTAGAGAGGTAGAATACTTGCCGTCAGCCTTGGTTTAAGCAGATCAAGTGTCCTGAACAAAAGGGTGCCTTTTCTCCCAAGTTGATTCCTGATGTTAAAAAGGGAGAATTCTTCAACTTTCTGCTCCAAGCCTGACAACCTCTTTTCTAGGAACTCAGCAGGGTGTCTCCTTAAAGCAGAGAACCAATCACCTCATTTGGGGAGGGGTGTTTAGGCGGGGAGCTCAGGCTATGACCAAATCCCACCCAAGTTATACCATGGTCAATAACCTTCCCTAGGTACATGTAGCAGCCTAGCCACTAGTAGATTAATATGCAGAATGATATCCTGAACATCCAGACATCAAATATGCCATATCTTACTATTTCAGCTAGAACTATATGGCTTTCTACTCTCCTGTAGACTTTAAACTAGGGGTGTAAGGTATCAGGTGACTTGTATTAAAGTGACCTCTTGGAATATATTCTTGGTTTCATTGTATTTCCTATCTTAAGATTTGAAATTATATGGAAAAGTGGGTTTAAATGGGATGTATGTTTTACGGCTATCTCGGAATGTCTTTCATGTCCAGTGAAGGACTGGTTTATAGCTTTACGATCCTCTCCAAGCAAGAGTCTCACAGACATACTGGGCCAAGGCTAATTGGGGTTTAAAGTCATGAAGCTATCCAGCTGTGCCTGATGCCTTGTGATCTCAGCATACATACAGACCACATTCCTGAGGGAGGGGGATTGGAGGGAGAGAGAATGATACAAGATGAAGGATCTTTAGCAAGATGGATGACCGCGTCCATCTCTGTACGTACAATTGCTACACCTCCCTCTCATGTGGTTGCATGGGAGGGAATTTCAATTTCCCTCCTGACGCAACCCACTTCTACCGCGGGCACAACCTGCCTCAATAACCCATCAGCATTGCCATGGGTGCTGCCCTTCTTATTCTGTATGGTGAAATCGCATTGCTGAAGAATTAAGCTCCACGAAGTAGTTTGGCATTCTCCCCAGCAACACGATTTAACCAGCTCAGAGGATTGTAATTGGTGATTACTGTGAAGTGCCGCCCATAAAAAGTACTTTTGCAACTTCTGGAGAGCCCCACACAATCGCAAGACACTCTTTTTTCAATCGTGGAGTATTCTACCTCCCTGGGAAGCAGCTTCCGGCTCAAGTAGAGGATGGGATGTTTCCTCTCCTCCACCATCCACCTGGCTCAGGACTGCGACCCAATCCATATGCAGAGGCATCCGTCTGCACTAGGAAACGACGGGTGAAGTCTGGATGCCTGTAGCACAGGGGCACTGGCCAGCGCCTCCTTCAAGGCCTGAAAGCCTTCTCACAATCGGGTGTCCAAGACACCACCTTGGGTAGTTTCTTCTTGGTTAGGTCCAGTCAAAGGTTTGCCACCAGCTACTATGGTTACATACAAACTTCCTATAGTAACCGGCTGTCCCCAGGAATGACATGACCAGTTTCTTGGTTTGTGGGGTAGGCAAGGCCAGGATGGCCTCCACCTTCCCTGTTTCAGGCCTCAGGGTTCCTCCTCCTACCTGGTTGTCCCAAATACTGGACATCCTTCATGCATATCTGACACTTTACTGGGTTTGACAGTCAGATTGGCGGCTGTCAGTTTGTCCAGAACCTGGACAGATGCACCAGATATGTTCTTCCCAGGTGGGGCTAAACATGGCGATGTTGTCCAGGTAGGCTACTGCAAAGGGTTTCCAGCCCCTCCAGCAAATCATGCAGGACTCTTTGGAAGGTCGACCATAGGCTCTTTGGCCTTTGACACAGTCGACCACGCCCCTCCTCCTTAATAAACTACTCTCCCTTGGCATCAGAGACACCGCTCTCTCCTGCGGGTTCTCGTCCTATCTATCCCAACGCTCCTTCAGCGTTTCCTACAACGGTGCCACCTCCTCCTCACTCCCCCTCTCTGTTGGGGTCCCCCAGGGCTCTGTCCTTGGACCCCTCTCTTCTCCATCTACACCTCCACCCTTGGCAAACTCATACACTCCCCCGGCTTCAATACCACCTCTATGCCGATGATACTCAAATCTACCTATCCACACCCCTCACCTCACCCCCACATTCGCCCGCCCGCCATCGCACTCTCACCTCCTAAACGACATCTCTGACTGGGTCGCTCCATTTCCTCAAACTCAACCTCTCCAAAACCGAGCTTCTCATCTTCCCCCCAGCTCCGCCCCGCCCCCCCCCCCCCATCCTTTCCATCACTACCAACAACACCACCATCAATCCCGCCCAGCAAGCCAAAGTCCTTGCGTCATTCTGGACTCAAACCTTTCCTTTCAACCTCATATCAAATCTCTCACAAACACATGCAGACTCCACCTCCGCAATATCGCCAAGATACGCTCCTTCCTTACCCCAGACACCACTAAACTACTAGTACACTCCCTGATTATCTCACGCATGGACTACTGCAACTCCCTCCTCACCGGCCTACCCCAGTGCAGGCTCTCCCCGCTTCAGACCATCCTGAACTCAGCGGCCAGGGACTCATCCACCTCACCAGCCGCTCCACCTCTGCCACCCCCCCTCTGCCTCTCCCTCCACTGGCTCCCCATTGCCCAACGCATTAAATTTAAATTGCTCACCCTGACCTATAAGGCCATTCACAACACTGCCCCTAACTACCTCACCGACCTGATTCCCAAGTACCACCCTACCCGTACCCTTCGCTCTTCACAGGACCTCCTTCTATCTTGCTCCCTGGTCTCCTCCTCCCACGCACGACTGCAAGACTTCTCCAGGTCCTCCCCCATCCTCTGGAACTCACTACCC